TTCTTGACGGTCTGCACTTAATGCTCAGACTGGGGCACTGTTTCTTCTCATACTAATGAGTACAATCTCCTTGATGCTTGCTCGCGTTTCGAGCAACGATATTATACATCTACTCAGGTTCGATACATCAACCTGATTTATACTTCTCAAACTCGGACTAAGGGTTCTATGCTTTATTTCTCGAGACATGAGAAATGGCAAGCGGGTCGGTTGAGCGGATATAAATGAGCTTAAATGCTTGTGTACCTTCTTCAAGGTCAGATGGTTACACTTCTTGAGTTTTATCTGGAGTTCTGCTCGAGAGAATCTTCCTAAGTCTCATTATCCATGCATTGATATGATCACATGTGACATCTTCTGCGGATTCTTCAACTCTCTCCTATCTCTCCTCGACAACCGAGGATGCATATGGTGACAGTCTTTGCTCACTAATGCTATATTACAATCGAGCTGGTCTTCTTGAGTCTTTGTATCTCTTAACAGGAGGTCATATTGGGACAAGTTCTCGACATGCAGTTCAACCCCAGACAATGTTCCTTCGCAAACTTATATCCTCGACACCGAATATCTTCATTCTTCTCGATCCACTACTTCGTGGATGTTCTTGAAAGTTTGGGTCTATTACCTCTCGATTAGAAGCGTACGTCATAGTTCTCCAGTAGACTCCGCGCCTCGACGGTTGATATATCTTAGCCGCTGATGGCGCATATTTTGAGACTAGTAGGAATCTCTGCTACATTTCCTGCTCGACTCTTTCAACGAGCAGACCACCTGCTTTGATATTTCCCTGGAACATATCGTGAGAATCATCGCGAAAGGACTTCTCGACTGAAGTATGACCAAATATGAGCCAATGACATGAATTGTAATCTTCAAACAGATTATTCTTTCTGATAGTTGTTATACCTTCGAAAGTTATTTATAATGCATCTCTATATTCAAGGTAATGGGAATCTCCATTACACTTCTTTATTACCTTCTCAAGCAACAGGGCATCTGCCTTAGTATCTCTTTGGGGAAGAATGTTAACATCATCGCATATCGACTTCTCACTCGAAAATTTGAACTGATGACTCTTCTTTCTTCACAAATTGGCATAAATGTCAATCGGCTTTATGACACGTACATTCGAAAAGGTCCACGCTAATTCTTTCATTGCTTTGGTTTCTCCTCGAGGCTAACCTGTCCCAGGTTCTCGATTCAAGTTAGTTCTTCCCGAACTTTAGGAAATTTTACACTTCATATTATGAAGCCTACCTTATCTTCAGACTTCAAAGTATAGGCTTGATAAGGGGCACTTGACGAGTCTGAATTCATACGGGCCACGAATAGGCCGGCCCAAGTTCGGCAAGCAGTTCAACCGACCCCTGGAAGCTTCTAGGGCGGTTATCAATTTCTTTCCTATCAAGAAAGAGTTTCACAAAAAGGTAACCATAGCTCTATAAATAGAGATTAACCTCTCACATCAAAGGTATGCTCTACGCACCACAATCCATACTCCTATTACAATTACTCTTACTAACTTAAGTATTAAAGTGTCTACCCTCGGGAGACCCTAAGACCCTATTTTGCAGGTTTTAGGGTTTCGATACTGTCATGGTCACCAGTTCTATCAATTGGAGACGTCGATGCAGATTCATGCTTCGTCAAAAAACTTGTTTCTGCTAATAATGATAAAACATAATTTGCACATTTATGAATATGTATAAAGTATTTATTTTGTTAAAGAGTAATATTAATGTTTGCATTTTTTTCCAAATTAGAACACAAACTTAGCTATATAGGCTCTGTTTCGAATCTTCAATCCTTCTGTCCGAAAAAAAAAAAAAGAAAAATATTTAATCAACAACGGACTAAACCCTAATCCCGATACAATGCCCGCCGCTGCCAAAATTCGGGTCAAACCGTCGGAATTTAATTTTTTCCAGGGTCAACGGTGGTTAACAAAGGTTCAGTGATGCTCCCAATTAGTTTAAGATAATCCACTACATATTTCCAATCTAACATGTGATTCACAAAAGTTTCTGTATATGCTGAGAATGACAAAGAATAATACTCCCTCAGGTATTTAATATATGGTATTTTGATTTGTCCCAATTTTAATCTAGTATATATTTTTAATTAACAAAAACATCTTAAAAATATTTCATAGGGATTACAACAAATACGAAAATATATTTTTAAGGTTTTTTTCATTAATAAAAAATACGTATTAACTGAAACATAAGACAAAATCAAAATACCTTATATGAAGGACGGGAGGGAGTATTTGATGTATCTGCATTACGAAAAAAATTTCTGTAACCAAAAAGTATTTTGTTGTAGTGAACACGTGATGGAGCCATTGCGATTGTACCGATTCTGCATGATTAAAAGGAACTCCAACGTATCTTGTGACTTGGGTCCCTGTGTCCTTTATATTTTTCTCTTTAAATCTTATCTTTTTCTTTCTTTTCTTTTCTTTTTCAAATTTTAGGGAGAGAGCAACTGATTTCCATAGCATAGAGTCTCAATGAGGAAATGGAAATTTTTGTTGTAACTTTAAAAAAAAATGTGGTTAGGGTCTAGGTACGAGGAAACTTGGAAGATAGAAGCACATATACTACTTGGACAACAACAAAGAACGCATAGTTTTTATTTTTTTGTTTATTATTAGTTTATTTTATTTTTAGCTTCTATATGCATATTTTTTTGGTTTCCAGATTAATAGCCGCCAAAATCAACAACTATTGAATCAGAAATGATCCATTTTGAGTAGACTTTCCTTCTGCTTTTTCATACTTTATGGACATGAAGGTCCGAAAATCAATTTTTTTAATCTAATAAAGTTTTGAATAATCCATATAACCCACGTAACTTGTGGGGCTAGTACTATAGTAGCATCAGCATATGGGATCATGATCAACTTGTACATTGATAGAAATCAAATAATTAAGGATTTTTTTAGTATTACGAGTAAGCAAAAGGATTAAAATATCTCTTAGATGGGAATTTTGCCTATGAAAAAGACCTATCCAACCTATCCAACTTAATCTAGATCATCACAAACAGTTACTCCCTCCCTCCCATAATTATTGTCCACTTTGCCCAAAAAATTTTGTCCCAAAATTATTGTCCAATTTGACTTTTTATGGATCAATTTACACATTTGTCCTTAATAAAAAACATTATCCATAAAATCTTAGTGGTTAAACAATTACTTATGTAGGGGTATATCCGATTGTTTAAGGTAAAATATAGTTAAGTTTGACCAAAAATAAAATCTTTCATTTTAGTAAAACTGGACAATAATTATGGGACGGAGGGAGTATTTGAACACTAGGAGTCTCTATTTTTTTTTTTTTTCAATAGGAGTCTCTAATATTCATGTTCATCATAAAAATACTTGAAGTTTCAAGATCACCAGAAGGCTGCACTGGTTCCTCTATTATAGATAATACAACTTATGTTAATATATATATCATAAACAAACGCTTAGATAATTTTCATATTTCTATCTTATTTTTTTGTATCAATATTATATTTTCATTGAAATTTGACAAATTTTTGGAGCTTTTAAACTGTAAAGTAAAGTAAATAGACTCTAACTCGGAAAAAGTAAACCTTTAGTTCTAAAATACTCCTTTCATCCCATGATTATTGTCCAGTTTGAGTTTTCATTTCTAGTTCAAATTGTACCAAAAGTGAAATCTCAAAACTCGATAATAATTTTGGGACGGAAGGAGTATATAACTTCGAAAGTGATCATCATGAGTGGTATAAATATTAACCCTTAGTTCTGCAGTTTATTTTGTTCGTCACACTTCCTATTTTAATTAAGCTATTTTCGAATCAGACAACAGTGGTATATATCTGGTTAAGAATTGAAATTGACGAATTTTTCCAATACTTCCTACTTTCATGCTGCAACGCTTTAACAACTCAATTTTGTGTTTTGCAGTGGCTGTTACTCAGCTCAACGAATCCGCGCCTTGTTATTAGTTGACTGTATTCGCAAACATCGGCAGTGCCATTGTGTCCACTCCATTTGATAATCCTGCTCCCATCCAAACCTCATTTCAAATTGAATTAGAGCCATTTCCTATTAAAATTTCTAACTTTCAATATCAAAAGTGCTAAGGTTCTTTTTCAGCTGGAGCGCTTTTTTGCTGTTTTAGATAAGGAGATATGAAATATGCCCAAATACCCATTCTCTGGTTGGCATCTATAAGATCCTGGAATTATCGGATAACATGTCCATTTTTCTTTATAGAAAATGTAACCTTTTCCCTGACTTGCAATGTCTATTTGGCATTATCATCATATACAAGATTTTCCCTGTGCATTATGTGAGAATACAGTATCAAGTTGATACTTATATTTTAAAATTTTAACTAACGTTGCGATTTAAATATTTTCTCTCTAAAAGTTGTTTACATACGATTGACATTAGATGTACCAAATTTAAATATAATAAAAATGACTTTTTTATACGTAGAGTTTTAACTTTTTTTTTTTTGCTATATAAAGTGTGAGACGGCAGTCATTGTTTTTTAGTGGTGAAAAAGGACATATGAGAGGTAAATAATAAAATTTTTCGCTTAACAGTTATTTTAGTAAGAGCTAATCTTTTAATTTATTTAGTTAGAGTTATTTTTTTAATCAAAAGTAGGTGGTCTTGACTTGATATGTTTTAGGAAGGAAAATTTTTAATTACATTGTGATATTTATTTTTCATTTTCTCTTTAAGTTATTTTAATAATAAATTATACATTTATTAATCCAAAGCCACGTAGTTTTGTTTTGAACGGAAAACATTCCGTAAGATCATGATCGCTATTTCTCTCTTAAACTTCTGTTTTTTTTTTTTTTTTTGATAGGGTAATTATATTGATTTTCGTAAAGAACTAATTAAGCATCATATTAGAGGCTTGGCCAACTAAACCTACCTGCAAGAATCTGGAATTTAACTTATCTCAAGACTAAAAATCTCTCTCTAAAGCCCCCCACGTTTAATTTCACTCAAGCCTCTTCGATTTTCCCTATAAATAGCCTACCCTAGAGGCATTGAAAAATCATCCCAAATCATTTGTTTCTCTTTGCACTGACGAAGAGAAATCCATACAAAAAATGACAGGATCAAACTGCACACTCTACAATGTCACGAATAAAACCTTGTTCAATGTCCGCTTCCACGACGCCTATAATGGCGCGGACTACACCATTTTGGCGGGAGAGAGCAGAAACTTCGAGGTCTGGCTGCCCCTCGTGACGGAGCCGCCTTCGACTTTACATGTCCTAACACCAAGTGGTGGCCGGCGCCTGTTAGCTAATTTGTGCGGCAAAAGCGACGGCGATCAACTCATTACCGTCGCCGATTCCACTCACTCCGTCGCTTTCCCAACTCACATCAGCACCCCTCTTGTGTCAAGCAAAGGTTCTCTTACCATCGAACCTATTGATCATCCCAAATATCGCATCTACTGTTACCGCCACCATCCCGTCGAGTCTGACGACCTGATGGCCATTTCCACCGCTATCCAAGTAGATTGAAGTGTGAATTCTTGGGGACTGAACAAATCTCCGCTTTAATAAAGTACGTGTGTTCGCACAACCTCGTGTTTCAATTACCCGCCCAAAAAATGTTAAATAAATAAATACACTGTATCAATGAATAATGATTAACTTATGCATACAAATTGCAGCTGTTTAAAAGTTTCTGTTGATTTTGAGGAAATTTAGGTTTTCCATTCATAATACGTGCGTACATGATACATGATTATATGGAAGAGTTCTAGACTAATGATAACCACTCTTACATCAGGGGCGTATGACACTAATCTATAGCAACTCTCCAAATTTTTATAAACTAACAATAATTAACAGATTATTGTTTCTAATACTCCCCCATGATCTAGAGGATTAATAGATCCAAGCTTGCTCAAAAGTCCATAAAACTTAGTAGATGGATAAACTTTTGTGAGGATATCGACAAACGGACCCAATATAACAAGTGTTGATGTACTTAGATTGAACTTGTTGACCAATGTATGTAGCGACAAACAACTTCAATATTTGTTTGTTCATGAACACTGGATTGACTGCAATGTGCATTAATGTCATCAGAGTACGATAAGAACTACCCATATCATCAACAAGACTCTTAATTACTCCATACAAGGTCACATGCTGCAGTAGTCATAGCGCAGTATTCAGCCTTAGCACTAGATCAAACTACAACATGTTGCTTTTTACTTTTCTGTGATATTAGATTTCCACCGACGAACACACAATAATCGGTGTGGATCGACGATCAAGAGCATTCCCTTCCGAATGAGAATTAGTATAGCAGCCAACGAGAACATCACAGACTTCGCCACATATAAAAGCATCTACAATAGTTTATAGTATTGTGAGTGTAATGTCATAAATTTTTAATATTATACATTTATTCTACTTTTCACTACACTGGTTTACACCGTAAAAGTATAATAAAATGAAATAATTTTAGTATTATCATAAATTCACATTAAATGTATTTTAACACTATAAAGTATATTACACGGTGTAAGAATTATTACACCGTATAATATTATTCTACTCCACACAATGACAAACAATATAATAAATTAGTTATTTAGTCTTTCCTTTACCCATCTACTTCTTGTATTTTTACTTCCAAAATATTCGGTTTGAAACAAAATTAACAATGAAGAAATAAGATTGTAATTGAATCAGACTTCTATTTAGGTGTTCGACGAAGATTTTCTATCAAAATGGCGCAAGCATATGTTGACTAACAAAAGCTTACAGCAAAAGAGATATCGGGCCTTGTTATAGTCAAATAAATCAAATTTCCTTTCCCTATCTGAGAAGTCGAATAATAAGCTAAACTATATATACCCCATTATAATAAAAACCAACTTTTTCTCCAAAATTTCAAGTGTAACACTATCCTTAAAAGTCTCAACACCCTAACTCAAACTTCGTCTTTAGTTTTATCAATTAATAAAAAAAAAAAACTCAATTTGACACATGATTTTTGCCGTTTCTCTTCCAACTGCAAATAAACATGATCCACGACTCTCAAACTGAATCACCATCCTATCCCCAAATAAACTTCTCCAACAGATCACAAAATCTCCAAAATTATCCATTGATTCGTTTATTCAAATTTGGGTAACAAGATATATGAATATTTTATGGAATTTGAGGAATATATGTCTACAAATTATTTTTTTCCCTACACCCACTGGAATTGATCCGATGGGTTTTACTAAATTTTAAAGGTCCCATGGAATTGATGCGATGTGTACTACTAATGGATTTACTAAAATTAATTTGAAAGGTTTTCAGGAAAGGGAGAAAAACTACCAAAGAAAGGAAAAAGGAATTATACATGCCAGCCTTTGAAGGGGACTTCCACCACCGCTGTGTCAAAGCAGTCGCCCAAAAGCTCCAAAAGATCATCTTTTAACATATCTGGTGTGTATTAATTTGATCACTCCAGTTATATTTTCATTTTTATTTCATGTCTCCCAACTTGAAATTTAATTTAGTCTAGAAACTGTAGTTGCAAGTTGCAACTTGCGTATGTATACAATTTATATTGCATGGTGATTTTGTTGTTCTGCTGTTTTTTTTTTCTTCACAATCGCCTATCATGTCACATAAGCATGTTTAAATATTTAATAAGTGTTTTCAAATGAACTAAATTGGTAAAAAAAAAATCATATTGTAGTTTAAATATTTAGAGATTACAATATAAATTATTTTTTAAGGATGAGAAGAAGTTCCTAGGTTCTATGGTGAAATTGGATCATTATCTTTTGCTGCTCATTAGTGTATACTTCTGGAACTCGAGTTCTACTTGGATTTGGTAGTTACAATTTTACCTTTTGCATGAATGACTTCTGAATGGCTGCCCGTTTGTGATCATTTAAACATCTCGAGCCATTTGAATGTCGTCAAGCTGTAGTAACAATTTCTTTGTGTGGATGCTTAAGTGTCTCCTTTGCTTTGAATTATGATATTGGCATTTCAAAACGTGTTTAATTATGATTTCAAAAATTTGTGCCAAATGAATGTCATTCTCAGTTTTATTGAATTTGTATAGCCTGAAAGTCTGAGGTGAATCGATTGCTAATCCCAAAAAGTTTAAACGAAAGGGTATCAAAAAGCAACATTAGGTTAAGAGATCGAAGAAATTTCCGTCCAAAAAGGTTTCACAAAACATTACAAGGTAGTTACTATTTTTCCATTTTGATTTCCGCATTGTTAATTATTCTTCTTGATTGAGCGTGGAACTTCAATCGTCGCCCTTTTATTGCCTTCTTACTTTTTTTATTGTAGAACTCAAAGTTCTTGCTATAAAACCAGTTTGTAAAGTGAAAATTGCAGCCGCAACCAGAGATATTATTTATCATGTTTATCTATTATGTGTAAAATACTTTATGTTATTTATTATGTTTATCTATTATGTGTAATGTTACAAAAAGATCTTTATACATCATTGCGCACTATAATTTTACTTGAGATTATTGACATAAAGATAAATTTAACACTTTGAATTTGTTACACATTACAACTTGATTAATATTAGTAATATGATTTTGAAATTGTTTAGATTAAAAAAAAAAAAAGGTCTTTCTTGTACCCGTGTGAACACACAGGTCCATATAACCTAGTATTTCTTATAATAATATGTTAATAGTTTTATGCACTGTCGAAACAAGATTTTTGGGACTGAAATTTTGAAAGCAACCTGGGACGTGCGTTGCGATCTTTCTGCCATAAGTGCCATTTCATTTATTCACCTTCTACTTGGAGTTAGTTATTTATTGTGGTGTGTTTTCTTTGAGGACTTGGGATTATGCTCATTCCATTAGCCGCGAGTCTGTAGGTTTATTGGTGTTATCCTTATTACTGGTGTAAAAGAGTTGCCAACGAGCCCATACTTTCTCCAAACAAGGAGCTCATATTATATTGATTTGAGTTTTGATTTTTTGTTAAACCTTTACTAATGTTGCTTTAAAATATTATAGAAGTTGCACTAAACAATGAATCTAATTAAAACGTAGAAGTTAAATCACCAATTTGAAAATGAGGCCACCAAAAACAAAGAGAAAAAGAAAGCTACATAACCCACGCGATCACTAGTGACATGTGCCTCTCTTTAGTACTAAAAGAAAATCTTGTCACCCATCTTTACCCCAAAGCACCAGAATACGATATTCATATAATTTTAAAAAAAAAAAAAAAACAAAAAACAAAAAAGCACAGACACACAATCGATCAGAAAGTGGCAAATCATACAAATATACGCACTGTATGACAAAACTATTTGTTACATGAATATTGTGCTTCTGAAGTCATTGATCTAACTAACACTGCTACATTTAATTAGTATCCAGAAAATCAGACACCGAAACAGTTCAAAGAAAACTTTCTTGGTCTAGAGGCTAAAATATCTTTCAAACGCGGTTGTAACCGACTGATTTGCTGAACAAGCGCCTGATGTAGATAACCTGAAGAGAACTTGCAAGGGCCAACAAAATGTACTCACCAACCGTGTAGAATATGACACGCTTCCGGGTGCTCTCATTAGCTGCAGCAGGATCAGTAATGAGACATCAATAAACCATTTGTAATGCTGAAAGCGAAATGATGTCAGTGAAAATGACAAATATCAATTCAAATAAATGATGACGAACAGTGAATTAACTTTATCTGTATCGCCTGGACATGAACCAACCATGTAAAATCAAAGGACTGGCAAGGGTAAGACACAATCATAGTGGTACAACCTAATTCTCATGGTCTCTCTGAATCTGACCATCTAGACAGCTCACTGGAACTGCCTTTAATATTGTTCTCAGTTACTGAAAATCTACTTGGAAATAGTAAGATCAGCATCGACATCAAGAAAACTACAAATGTATCAACATTATGATCACTCAACATCTGATATCAGAGACTAAATTGTGATTTAAAAATCCAACAAGAAGCAGCATTACATGATGAAAGTAGTCCAGAACTGGAAGAGTTAGCATGGTATGCATGATTCATATATCAGGGCAGCAGTGCAGTACTTTTAACGAGAGTAAAAGTAGCCTTACTATGACGATGACGAGCATCACGTGCTTTCAAGTATTTCTGTTCTGTCGTAACCGATTCCAATGCCTCTCTTAGTTCAGCAATTTTAACATTAATTGGATCCAAATGCTCTGCGAGAAATATGAGAGAAATTAATAAAAAGAAGTAGCAAATTCAAAACAAAGCAGTAAACAAGTTTTAAGGAACTAATGGATCTTCCCAACCCGTGTCAAATAAAATGGGATATATCAACAAGCAAGTCCCCCCACAAACACACCAACGCACAAACACCCACACACCCCCACCCCCCCCCCCCCCCCTCCCCCACCTCTTCTGCTGGAAAACAGGGAAAAAGAAGACGAAAGGAAGAAGAAGAAAAAGAGAGACAATTATCCTTCATCTCAAACATAATTTGTAAAAGTTAGGACAAACCATCTTTCGCCAGGTCATGTTCAGTTGGAATGTGGCCGACATGTATGTAGAAAGAGACGGTTTCAGGAGTTGAATAAGGATTGTTAAAACAAAATTTGTACATCCCACTTCTTGGGGCCTTGAATTCGAATTTATCACCAGATGTTCCTTTCAATGTGTGGACTACATTGCCACCCGGAGCAGTAACCTGCAATCAGAAAGACAATCATGAGTCGACATACATTTTAAATGAAAGGGAGAAGAAAAAAACCTAAAAGACTTATCAGAAACTTTTAGTAAAGACATAGTACCCTTGAACTTATAAAAATTGCGCTCTGATATAGGACTACACATCGAGATAAAGTTTCTTGTAGTTGTCAAAAGGGTAATTGGACATTGAACAAAATGTAAGAATACATAGCTCTAAAATTTTGCAGAGAAGAAAAAGTGCAGAGGTAAATGCTGAAACCAAAGGACCTGCTACACACTGTTTGGTAAATGCTTAAACAGTGAAAACATCTTTGCTTTCTGAGAAGCAAATTCCACAAAACAGCTTTCATCACACAGCTGTAGAAACTTGCGTACTCTTTGCAAGTTAAGACACTGCAAGAAGGAAGGTTCACAAGAAAACATACAAGCAATGATCGATCAGAAAATTCTCTGACAGACATCTAATGCTAATCCCAAGCAGAACAAAAAGATTTATCACAGGTTCCGTGTTTGCTCTGTTGACTAGAATCCTTCAATATGCAAGCATTTAATGATCTTCAGCCATCCAATCAAAACTGTTCAAAAGTTAAACAACGAGTATTGAAGATCTCCAGTCACAACACATTCTCGAAACCCAAAGAAGCCAGCCATTGTTCTTATTCCCAAAACCAAATCCCTACAACCCAATCAGATGTAGCAACAATCACTACTAACATTTCCATTCTTGATTTTCGTAGGTTAGCCAAACACTGTTGAACAAAAAGGTCCTAAAATTAAGCAATTTCCAGAATATATCCTCACGATTTATGAGAATAACTACCCACTGCAGCATTCAACTTTTTAAAAACAGTTAATACATAATAAATAATCAAGTTTTACGCATTACAGTTCCATAATGCCAGGCTGAAGATTAGAAGATGATTTTTATCTCAAAATTCCATTTCGACAATCCACCATTTCACCTTGTTGCACATTGATTGAGACAAATCATAAGGCAAATGCATTCAATTGACGAGAAAAAAACCAGGATCCGACACAATCACGTACAAAGAAAAAAGTGAAACCCTACAGCATACACTGATAAGATACTTCTAGGAAACCAATTTCCATCTATATATATTCATTGAATCAAGCTTATTCAAATTTAATTTTAGAATAAATGTTATCTTCTTTGTTTCCTACCAGCTACGCAAGGAATCCAAAGAGTTTTATGACCTTATTCTTTCATAAACTTTACTATATGTAATAGTCGAAAACAGTCTTCAACCAAATTGCAGCAGTAATCCAGGACCACATTCTAGTGTAGACATAGAGGAACACATAATAAGGTCAAACCAAGTGAGAAAAAATGCAGCAAAGAGATCAATTCGAATCCTCTCAGAACAATATTGTAGAAAGTTGACTGAAAAAAGAGAAGCTTTGAGAAACACCCTAACAAAACAGCATGTGGAATTGATATAGCTCGAATATCAATGGACAGTCCAACTTCTTCCAATAACAGGATTTTAAATAAGGAACATAGAAACGGGGGATGACAATTCAGATTTCAACAATGACCATGGAGGAAATAAAATAGTTTTCTTTAATAGAGGATGTCATTAATCAAAGTGAAACGCCTAAATTGCCTCACTACAACATTTGAACAATATGCAAAAAAGTGCAGAAACCGCATAAATCTTCTTCTTTTTCTTACTTCAGCACTGCAGGCCGTGTTGTATGATAAAGTATTAAACATCCTACTAACCAGTTCTGTTCTTCACAGACATTTAATTCAACATAAAGGGGGTAAACAATATTCACACATCAGAGTTCAGAAGTAGCGGGCACGCCATAATTACCTCAAATTACAATCAACTAACACTAATTTTGTGAAAAAAAAAAACAAGCCAAATAGAGCAATCAGAAAACATCTAATATAAATATGAATTTCACCAGAATGATATCTATTTCCACAAACAAATTTTCCCTCAAACCCAAAGACTACCTACTTAGATTACCATATCCAAGATTCTGAATTTCTCCAACCCCATTATCAAAACATTTAAATTAAATCATAACACCTTAATATAAAAAGAAAAAAACAAAAAACAAAACCAATGGATGAATTAATAAATAATAAGAAAGGAGAGAGGAATTTACAATCAAGTCGATTCCGGGATGATCTGAGCTCCAGAAAATATCATGATCTACCACCACGAAGTTGCCGGAGACGGTATCGCCCTCGTATAGGACGTATTCGTACACACATTCAACGTCGTTGACGGTCACGGACAAAGCCGAGACTGACGGGATTCTGGCGAAACAGCTGAAGAGGAGTAGCAGGATAAGCCCATAGGTTCGCCTGCACCCAATCTCATCTTCCTTCCTCCCAATCTCCATAATCAAATTAATGAACCGATGAATCGATCTCTTCTCAGAGGTTTCCCACCGCTCTACACTAGAGTTTTTCCTATCTTTTCCGACGACTAGAAAAAAATTCGTGACTTAATTTGTCATCACTTAAATAAAAGTATTATTAAATGTTAATTAACTCAAGTGTGACGTGGTTTTGTCTGATGACTGAGGGCTTTTTTTTTTGTGTGTTTTTTCCTTACTAAAACCCATTTTGGTCCTTTACATTTTGCAAAAAAAAAAAAAAGAAAAAGAAAAATTTCGGTCCTGTAGAAGAGCGTTTATTTGGTCCAAGGGTAATTAGCCTACAACCAATTACATCAATTATTTTTTCATTGGAATTTATATGCTGTACTAGCGGGGGAGGCCGCACGAGAAAAGAGAAACAACGGATAATTTTTATATATATAAGATTACATGGGATGTAAAGGAGTCTTTAATTCAAACAAGGATTGTCTTCTTTCTAACAAAAGATGAAAGGCTCCAATCCATCTTCATCTTAGCTTTGAGAGCGTATTTCCATATAGGATGGGAAAGGAATCTCTTCAGTTCATCTACTTCTCTTTCAAACCAAGAGTTGTACGTGCATTGACCGCAGTGAATACATGTGCATTTTTCGGGGGTGGCCATTTTGTGTGTTTGAAATTGCTATATAATTGTGATATTTGGTACTATTTAAAGATGATGTTGTGGAAAAGGTGAAATGATTTGTGTGTTGTTGGCAGAATAGGAAAGTTGTAGGTGGTTGGAAACAATAACGTGGCAATTTAAGAGATGTAGGGTTATAGGTGAACAAAAATGTGACAGTGTAGTAAGAGGTGTGTTGTGGTGGGTGGTATACGTGGATGAAAAGTGGGCTGTATGGGTTATAAATTTTAAGGATGAGATGGCAAGTGGTTTAAAGCAAATAAATAATATAAAAACTTGCATACTGATGTGATATGGATAGTGGACTTAAACAATGAATTAAGAGAAAGACAAAAGGAATAGTAAATTTTAAGAAAGTTTGACCAACAATGAGAAAAGGAATGAAAATCACACCAACAATGAAAGTTTGCAACAGGGAAGCTTCCCTTTATTCTTTTTTCACGGAAACTGAAATGAAAACCAATATTAACAGCAGACATACAATAGATTCATTTAGCCATCACATAGAATTAGTTTAAACCTTCAATTTGTTTCCCCAAAAATCTCAGTTTAAATCTCTTGGATTCTTGTGTTAGTTTCCAGGGAGAAAATCACACCAAGACAGGCATACATTGTAGAGATTTGAAGTTTAACAAGAAACTACGTATATTTGTAAACTTTATGTGTTCTATAAACAAAATGTTGTTGAAAATGTTCTGAAACTGAAAAGCAACGAAAGAGCTAGTAAAATGCACTTTATTAGACATACCATTTACTAAGTTTTCCCTATTTAATCTAAGGACCCGCAAAGAAGAAATGACTTTCATTTTCAGTTTCAACAGAACAATGGCTATAACAGCAATTTGTAAGGACAAACAAACAACAACAGAACAATGGCTATAACAGCAATCAAAATGTATCAAATAAACCTTATCAAATATAGAGGAAATTTATGCAAATAAACCTGAAATTTCAGATTTTTAGTTTAGAGATGTCCTGTTTTCAGATTTTCAGAAGCATATGCAAATAAACCTTATCAAAAAACAAGCATATGCAAATAAACCTTACTGTTAATAAACCTTTCAATTCTAAACAGAAAGTTTGAAATGTGAATTTTCAGATTTTCAGTTTAGAGATGTCCTGTTTAAATTAAATTTTTGGACAATCGACATCTGCGTTTTCAAATCCGTAAAAACAGTGATGCTAAATCACTAACATCACTCTTAGTTTTTTTCAGTCCGAAGCTCGCAGTAAAAACAAAACATTAATCAATCAAGCAGATACAATACAATTTCACCAACTCAGTAAAGGAAAAACCATCCAAGATTCCAAAAGGGGGGAAAAACCCAGACAAAGTACAGAGACATTACATCAAAAATACAATTACCTACAATCTACATCAAAAGGAATTTTTGGTTTTTGTACACATGGTGGTGATTGGAATCTCTGCATTACTGTAGAAAGAAGACCTAATGTGAATTTTCAGATTTTCAGTTTAGAGATGTCCTGTTTAAATCAAATTTTTGGACAATCGACAACTGCATTTTCAAATCCGTAAAAACAGTGATGCTAAACGAGTACATGAAACTGTTGAATTATATCCAAAAGTAAGGAAAATCAAAAGTATTGCACCATATTAATCACCTGAGTGAGGGTATAGAGTTTTTGTTCCAATTTTCAGCTAACATCTTACCAAGAAAAAGTGACATATAAAGCGACTAAATCACTAACATCACTCTTAGTTTTTTCAGTCCAAAGCTCGAAGTAAAAACAAAACATTAATCAATCAAGTAGATACGATACAATTTCACCAACTCAGTAAAGGAAAAACCATCGAAGATTCTAAAAGGGGGGAAAAACCCAGACAAAGTACAGAGACATTACATCAAAGATACAATTACCTACAATCTACATCAAAAAGGAATTTTTGGTATTTGTACACATGGTGGTGATTGGAATCTCTGCATTACTGTAGAAAGAAGACCTATTTGGAATTTTTCATGGCTCTCTGTAGTGATTTTTTGTGTCCATTCATTTTGAAGAGCCATTGTGTCAGAATTTTGAAGAGACCAAATACAAAAGTTATGGGAGACCAAATTTTCAGAAAATTCAATTGTTAATATTCAAACTTAAATTCTACAGAAACTATAGTTCTTTTTTATGAGTATGAAACTGAAATAAACCTCATCAAATATAGAAGAAATTTATGCAAATAAACCTGAGAAGACAACTGAAAGGATAGGCATAATTAATTTAGATATATCCTGTTCAAATCAAGTTTTTGGAAAATCTATAACTTCGTTGTGAAATCTGTAAAAACAGCGATGAACTATACTAAATGAAGGCGATATTCATAAAAAGAACTCCTTGAAAATGATTAGCTAGGTAAGAGAAAAATGTTTCACAACAGAACACATCAAATCTGATTTTTTTGCAAGTTAACTCTAAACTTTCATGTATTTTCCTTGGTTTCACTATACATCTTTGCACTTTTACAACACAAATAAATCATGGATAAATGTTCAAAAATAGGGTTTAACTTTACATTTTTGCACTTCTACAATACAAATAAATCATGGATTAATATTCAAATACAGTCGCTAAGAACAATGAATAATAGGTGACAACAAAGCATAAGGTTCATAGAGATTTCTAACTTCAATTTAAGACAAATAGTCTTAATATGCAACGGAATGCAATCAAAATCAGGTCATCAAAACCAAGTCAAAAAAGCACTTAACAATCAGTCATCAACTATTGTAATACAGTTATACTTTTAGCATACAACCAAACCCAAAATCTAACATATTTTGTACAAAATCTAACATATTTACACAAAATTTAACACAAAAACTAATATATTTGAAACAGAAACACTATTAACTATTTACACAAAATACATATTTACGCAAACATGGGCTCTAGGTATCTTTATGCTAGCCTATGTTTACCAAAAAATAGAGACTCAATGTTGCTCTATTGTTGTTTTTTTAAAGATGTAGCTAGAGTGTGTTCCTGTTATATGCTAAAGGATAGATCTCATTACCTTTTAATCTTGTTTTGCATGTTTTGTGGATCTGTGCGTTTGTTTTGCTGCTGATGAAAGATTTCTTTTCACAGGTAGAGTTTGTATTTCTGGCTGGTTGGATGCACTGGTTTCTTCGTCAGTCATTTCAACGTCTGTGGTTGGTGTGTTCGGGGAGTTTGAAGAAGTTTCTTTATCACTGGATTCTACTGCTGTTGAGGATGATGTAGATGAGGGAAGATACGTGGTGACAGTGTATCTTGATGGTGTTTCTTGTTGAATCTTGATGGTTGATCGCAGGTGGAACATTCGGTCTAAATTTTCAAGATTTTGTCAATGTCTAGATGTTTGTTCTGCGAAACTGAAAAAGAAAGTTAGATATTGTTTTAGTTTGTTATTTTTATATATAATATCTGTTAAATAGTGATGTTTATGAAATTTCAAAAGAGAGAATACCTGGTTGTTGTATTTAGCCAATTGCTCAGCTGATATGGTGAGGAGTTTCTCAGCTTCATTTCCTTCTATGGAAGCGTTGAGAGTGCCAGTTTTATCAGAGAGTTGTATTTGAAATTGTAGCCTATAAATGACAGTGGTTAGTTGGATAATATATGTAAATTTTGCTTTGCTAAACAAGTCTGGTGATAGAGGTTACTTACGCAGGTTTTGGACATGGTTGCTCTGTTTTACAGTATAAACAAGGGAATTTTTTCTGGTAAGATGCCCCACATGTTCTGAAGCAATTTGGACGAGTAAGGATATACATGCGTTGATCTCTGTCGACAATTTTTGGCTTTGCTTTTATCCAAAATGATCTTGGCTGCATATAATGATATGTGTGAGTGAGCAAAAATTAAAACAAAATCATAAGATAAGTGCACATTGTGAAATACCGGGTTACTGGAACTTATCACTTGGCCAATTTTTCGAACATGGGAGTCGCTTGGTGCCGTTATTGTCTCATGCACTTTTTCATATAACTTTTAGGAGATAACCGCCTCTATGTATTCATTGTTCGCGTTGATCCTATAATGAGAGTAATTTCAGTCACAATCAATTATAAAAAAATGTAAGAAAACATAGAAAAGAAACATACAAGAATAATTTCAGATTATAAGTTCATTTAATGTTATGTAGAAATCACATCAAACTTTAGTAAACATCGAAGACTTAGGAAGAAAGAAATGTGAAAAAGAGCTAAACACCGAAGAAAAACAAGCATATGAACAGAGAGATGTAAAGTGATTTTTCTGCACTTTAAGACATCAGGATTTCTCTGTACTTTAGTATAGCACTGAAATAATTAAATATTAGTAGGTTCAATTTCGATATGGGGATGTTTACAGACCAAGAGCCACATCTGAGGATTGAGTCAAAAGGTAGTAATTTACACATATTATAGACAAGTAGCAAGAAAACCTAAGGAACAGAATCCTAATGACCTATTGTCAAGATTATAAAAAAAAAAAAAAGAGACGAATTCTAGTGCCCTAAAAACCAGTAAAATCAA